TTAGTAGAAATGAATTCAGTGCAATTTTTTCTATGCCAATTTTTGGTTGAGTATGACACCAAGGTAACCCAATAGGATATGTTTAAATATTTTACCAATCAGAATCTAATCTGTAAGCACAAACTCAGCTGTATGTTATGAAATCCGGGAGATATAATCAGTTACCTATAAGACTGAATACAGAATGTATATGTACATATTATTTGATTAATTATTGCATTACATTATTATTATATTTTTCATTAATTTTATTCAAATTACGTTAATTTATCACTTGTAGAAAATTATCTTATTTCTTATACACTGCTTTAAGTAAACATAAATTTTTATACAGGTTAACTTAATATATTACCATATTCTATATTGAGCAAATATTAGAGTTAAAAGTTTCTGTTTGCCACAGTTTTACATTAGGGAATTCATGTATCATTTATATCACACTGGAAAGATATTAACACATCATTCCAATATTTATGTCATTCATAGATTTCAATTAGTGTAAGACAGAATTTTCTGAATTAGCTTATTCAATGCTTAGTATTAGTACCAAACGAACTATCTGTATAGTGAAGATATGTCCAGTTTTACCTTATATCTATCCGGGAGCAATCATTTCTAAAATCGAAAGGAAAAATATTATTACATTTCAAAATAAACACCAAATCAACACTGACAAAATTTATAACTACATTCTCTCAGCAGGTGATAAATAAACAAATGTTAAAAATTTGAAATCGGTATTAATTTCAAGTATCATAGCTGTTCTTTTATGATTCAACTTAGGGATCAATAAATAATGGAATACTTCATTTTCCTCCTCAACTTATGTCCAATGGATAGCATTTATATCATTTATTTATATCCTCACTAAAAGTTCAAGGCACCAAGTTTCAGAGATACAGGCAAAATTAATATAGACCTAATAAAAACATATAGGAAAAAATTATGCATAATTATTCAATTCAATTTTTACTAAGTTGTCAAAAATGCGTCTTCCACATATTATGAGCTCTATACCTTGTACATAAAATGCATATTGTTATCATTTTGACTTCCTATTGTTAATAGTTTTTATCTACCTACTTTGTTTTTCTTCACATCGAGGAATTACCCTAACACCCAAAGATATATTTTAGTTGTTTCCATTATTGTATTACTCTTGTAATCCGATATGAGTTAATGGAAAACAGAAAATTAATAACTTCATTTAGTTTTGTCATTCAGAAATTTAATTTTATATTAAATTCAAATTTATATTAAATTAAGTACTGTTTTCCATAATTTATATTATGATTTGAGATGACACAATTATTTTACTAATGTTCTTCATTATTTTTTCAGAATGCTGACTTTCTTACATTGTAATGGAGAGGAAGACTCAGATAAAATGGTCCTAAGTTAATAAGTGGGTTAGCTTTCTAAAATACTGACACATAATTGAAAACTTGATATTAAACAGGTTCATCTGGGAAACTTTAATTATATGAAAAAACCTTTTGCTATTTCTATCAATGAAATAAATTTAAAAATATTTTTACTTCATAAGTGTAATTTTATTTTAGACAAATAAATAAAGCAAAAATCATTACAAGGAAAAATTTAAGCAAAATCACCAGAGAATTTTTAATGTAGAAGACTAAATTTTTAATAAATTAAAAATGAAAGATAAATATCACTCAAACATAAGCAAGTTTAGTAAATTTAACTTTTCAGAATCAGTTAAACTTAATTTTTAAAATTAGATTATTACAACTATAAAAATATCTTTTACTAATTATATACATACATACATACAGTACAAAGTCCGTAAAACGGACGTCCATTATCGGGAATGATCTATAATCTGGACCTCAAAGCCAGAAATTTTTTTTTGTATGCTTTACACATACAAAAAGAAATGAAATAAAGAATGCGCATACATTATGCGCCCTATACTTCCACATTCATAACACCTTGGTTCTGTACTCTTATTAGGCATGCTTTATTTTATATGTTAGTACTTGAATAACCCTTATTTTTCGTATCTCTAACGCGGATTTTCTCATAAATTTTTTATTTTTCTTTGAATTCAGAAATAGTTTTACACCCATAGAAAATAATTTTGTTACTGCTCTCATCCGGTATCCCATTCATTACATAATCAAGAATTGATGAATCATCAAGAGAACCGCGACTGGCTATTTCATGCATGACAACTAAATATTCGGAAAGGGATTCACCAGGTTTTAAGTGTTGTTTAAGTCCAGGCATAGTCTAAATGAACTGTATTTTTTTCTACTTAGCACGATATTACTTGTGTAATCAGAACAGCTCGGCTTAATGATTTGTTTCTCTAACCATCCCGAAATCTGTTTATCAATTTCATGCTGCTCTGCGGGGGGGGGGGGGGGTGGCGGGCAATGACTTGGAAGTTGATCTGTCAGCACTATTCTCATCTTCAGGTCAGATGTTTTTATTTTATTCGGCTTATAATTCCTTACTAAATGTAGTATTTCATCTCGATGTACTCCGTATTTGATATGATTTAAATCAATTTCCTCGTCATTATAAATATCACGAATACACTACAAATAGTTTTCTGGTTGCAATTTTCTCTAATTCCGACTATGCATAATGTATGCTTTATGCATGCGCGCGTTGAAAGAAATGTTTAATAAAGTAAACAAATAAGTATTAAGCTTTTTTTTTTTTTTGTCAAATTTGATACCCTTTACATCACAATTGCTATTTATTTCATAAATTTCGGTTTCATATTTTTAATTGTATAATTTCTGCCCACCATCTTACCAGATTCAAATTGATGATCTATAATTCAGAAAAACCCCTAATCCGGAATCGCCGAAGCCCCAACGAGTCCGGATTATGGACTTTGTACTGTATATATAAAACTTAAATTAATAATTTAGTAAAAGTAGATTAATCTATGTATTTTTTCATTATGTTTCAGAAAATACGCTTAGTAAATGAAGCTGCAAATGCCATTTGATATCTCATTTGAAAATAAACTTAAAAAAAGTCTGAACAATAATTCAAGTAATTAGAAAATTTAAAAAAATTATAATAAAATAAAAACACTAATTTCAAACTCAAACTAACACTAATTTCAAAATAACCAAAAAAATCAGTCAATTATTAGCACAGATTCAAAAAGTAAAGAGAGAAAGAGAATTTTGATTGTCAACAAATGTAAAGCTATATCACTTATATTATTAAATTACTCTCCATAGAAATGTAATAAAAGTTTGTGTATGAAAATGATTTTACTTGAAATGTTTGGCTGTTAAAAAAGAATGTATCGCTTTAATGCAATAAATTCTCATTAAAATGAAGGGAAATTAAAATTTGTTTCAACAGAACTTACTTTAAAATGGATAAAACTTTAGGCATGCAAAATACTCCCGATTAACCAGAGTAATACTGAGAACAATGCCCATAGTTAATCCACAATCACGGCTAATCTGACAGCAGTTGAAAAAATCAGTAAAGGGGAATAACCTACATTATAATTATCGAAAATACTATATGCAAGTTAACAGTATTTTAAAAAAGTTTACTTTGAAGAATAAATTCATTTGGTTACATAAATTAAATTAGCATTCTAAACAAGAACATACTTCAAAACAAACAACAAAAATGCTTTTGTTTGTATTACTCTTGTAATCTGATACGAGTTAACGGAAAATAGAAAATTAATAACTTCATTTATTTTTGTCATTCAGCAATTTAATTTTAATGGGTAATTGAACAATACTATTTATCCCAGTTTAAGTACAATTAAATTACGTACAATTGAGAATAAAAATCATTCCTAAATACTGTTACATTGTCTTGTATCACAGTTGTTATCTCATGTATTTTCAGTACTTACGTATTATTTCGTAGAACGACCAAGTAGCCGGATTTAGTGACAATTATGAGTGACCATATTCTTTAGAATTCTTCAGTAACGATTGGTGATGGCTGCCGAAATTTCTGCCGAAGGTCGACAGATAATACGTGAGTACCATATTTTCTTCTCCATTTTTCATTTCTTGCAGGAATTTTACTTTATTCTGATGGTTTGCAATAGTAGTTTTTCCATTGTCCAGCCATAAAAAAACTTAATCTTTTTTCAAGCAAGGCCTGATTAACTCACATACCAGTTAATCTGCCGCTGGGAACTGTCTGTATTTTAATAAGTGAATTGCAGTAAAATACGGTACAACTATTAACAGCTTCATCGAGCTTCCATTTTTGCTCAATTGATAGCGCTTTATAGATTACTGAAAAAATTCGGAACTTAAAAAGGAAAAAAAAAAAAATATATATATATATTACTCTTAAATGTTATATTCAGCATTATTTTACAATTTTTTTTCCCTCATGTAAAATTTCTCATATTCAGGTTCCTTATAATGAGAACTGAATATATTAAATGAAAAAAAATGTAGCAGGGTTTTGAAACTAAATATTAAATTCAGACAAAATAAAGAATTAAAAGCTACAATGGAAAATTGTACAAAACTTAATACAGAGAACTTCTAATAATATGACAAACTCATTTGATGACTTGGCTGTATTATTTTGAATAAGATAAAACAATGTAACAGCTTTTGTTAGTATAATTTAAGAAATTAAACATACTAACACTATTTTTTTATAATAAACTAAAATAAAGAATTTTCATTTCATAAAATAAAGTGCATTACTAATTTCTGTTGATCTAGAATGCAATTATGATATTATTATTTTCAGTATAGAAGAAATTAACAAGAATTTTGAATAAACTATTATTACATAAATATTCTTATCTTCAAATTTAAATAGCTCATTTTAATTTGAACTTAATATACAACAAAGCTAAATAAGTCAACTTCTGTGACATTTCCATTTTATTCATGTAGAGACAACATAAAATTCTCAATCTCTCTTTCATATGAAAAAAAGCACTACGTAAACATACAAGAGTATAACCGTTAGTTAAAAAACTAAAAATCCTGCCTCAAATATAACTCTCTTACCTTCATCATAAGCAAAACAGTATTGCAAACAATGAGGAACATGATGAAATATTCAAAAGGAGTTGAGACTACCATTCTCCATACACGATACTTGAATCCTTGTTTGTTTGGCGGCATATATCTCTCCAAAGGTTTTGCGTGAATGGCAAAATCAATACAAGATTTCTGTTAAAAATTATACAAAATGTAAAACACAAATAATAACTTTGTGTTTAATAAATGAGCAAAATCCTGCTAAAATTTAATTTATAGTAGTATGAAGACATTTTTTAAAATATGATAAGAGAGATTCATGATTAAATTCCACTGTTTATATTTAAAATAGTATTTTGAATAAAATACACAAAGTTATAGTCCAGTTTCACCAAATATAAAAAAATTTGTAACTCTGTGATCATTTTTCAAATGAAAGTTTATTGAACAAATTAATTCATTCTGCTCCAGAATTTTTACCTCAATCAAACAAAATTAAGAATTTTTAAACCATTTATTACTTATTTGAACAAACAATTATTTTATATAAACTCTGGTTTTAACAGAGAAAATATGTTATTCATTTTTCAACAGATAAGCTATCGGATTTTCAAAATTTGTTTTCAATTACTTTAATTTTATTTGGTCATTATAGTACTTCTTTATTACAATTTTATTAGCTAGTCACAATGAAGTAGTTAGTGATGTATCTTATCATATTATAAGAACTTTATGCATGTTCTATAAAAAAGTGCTTTCTAATGAAAATTTTATAAGAAAGTATTAAATTTACAATTAATGTATATTTTATAAATTTGTTTGTCGAAGACAAATTATTGAATGTTTTTCTTTCATTATTGGGAAATGAAAATAATTTGTGTTCCAATACCAAACCAATCCAATGGTTGTTTTATTGTATAGCTATGGAAACAGTTTCAAAATTTTGTACATAATGTAAATAAATTTCTGAGAATTTTGTGGCATTGCCTGATCTGCAGGCATCCCCTCCCCACACATTTACATTACAAATTAGGCACCACAAATTTCTCAAACATCAGAAACTGACAAAATGGTAATATGCTCTTATCTTTTTCTCTTCCCTTTTTCTATCAAACATTTTTATCCTGAGAGGGAGATCAGGCATGCCCATGAAGTAAGTTGCAGTTTGTTCTTCTGCCACCACAGCGCTACTTGACAATACTCTAAGAATGCACACTAGTCTTCCTTGTGCCTTATCTTTCCACTGACACCATTACGGTCAATCAGTGCTGTGTTTTCAGTTTGTTGTGATCATTAAAAATGTTTTAGACAATTGAAGAAACTGTGAAAATTGAGATTTAGCCCCGAATTCATTTTCAGAACACAAGGAATGTTAAGCCTGCTGAAATTCATCATCAAATTGCTGAAATTTATGATAAAAGTGCAATGAGAATACTGTTGTGAGAAGGTGGGTTAAAACATTCAATAAAGGACAAATAAATGTCCATGATGACGCATAGGCTTTTGTTATCAATGATGATATGATAATGCAAGTTGATGAAAAATCTTGAGGAAACAGATGGTTTACACTATCCATATTTTCTGATGAATTTCCTGAAATTCCTGTTAGAGTCTAATGTTATGACTGGAGACAAAAGAACATCATCTATACTGACATGTATTTATTAAGCATACAAAAAGAACATGGTAAAGGAACCATAGCGACATCTTAATTGAGAGAAGGTGACGTATTTCTTCCAAGTCCTTGATTTTTAATGTGGCTGTAATATTGTTCTTAAATACCTGAATAGGAGCCACTTTGCTGGAGATTACGAAGAGGCCATTTACATCTACACCTTAACTCTTTTGCTTTAGTCATTAACTCCTTTGCCTTACTGAAGTAAATGCAAGGGTCTGCTCTGGATCTTTTTAGACTTCAGAAATTTGTTTAGGCAGAAGTTCCACTCTCTCAGACATATGAGTTCCATAAAGACTTCTCTTTAACAAGCAAACTTCTCCATGTAGTTTCTTGTGCAGACTTAATGATGGCTGTTCCATACAAAATTGTCTCACTTAATTTTTCATTTAAATTGGCTGCAATAATATCCAACTGATGAACCTGCCAGTTTTGCTCAAATGAGAATGCTAACAAAGTTCTAATTGACTTAATGCTTACTGTGTTTTTATTACAGGAGAAAACATCTCCTTGTAGTCAATTTCTTCAACTTGAGTGTAGTCACGAGCAATAAAACAAGCTCTGTGTCTTTCCAACTGCCCATCTTTATTAAGTTAATAAGGTATTTCTCCCGCCTTTTTAGCATGCCTTCGTGGTGTAATAGTCAGCACACTCGGCGCATATTCGAGAGGTTCGAGTCCCGGCGAGGGCATTGGTCATTTTTCATGTCTCCTTCTTCAAAATAACCTAATGTCTTTACAGTGGCACTCGAACTAAAAAAGGTGGTGGATGATGATTCTAAGGTATTTCTCCCGCCTTCTTAGCATACTTTTGTGGTGTAATGGTCAGCACATTCGGCGTGTATTTGAGAGGTCTAGGGCTCGAGTCTCGACAAGGGCATTGCTCATTTTCATGTCTCCTGCTTCGAAATAACCTAATATCTCTACAAGTTTTCTCTTGAAGACCACCTTGCATTTCACAACTTTCCTTTCTTCTGGCCTAAGCACTGTGTGCCAAGTTTCATTTTCTTTTAAATTTTCCAATTCTTCTTCCATAGCTAACTTCCATTTTTCTACATCTGGACTAGTAAATGCCTCTTCCAAAGTTTCAGGATCATTCTAAAAAACGTTCTTAGATACTGAGTCTTCACATTCATTTCTTGAATTGTCAGCTGCACTGCATTTCACTTGCAATTCCTTTTATTTCTGGAAGGTTTTCTTCATAAATTTCTGAATTTTCCATGATATAATCCCTTGCCCACTTAGGTACTGAAATTTGTCTTCTGGGTCGAGTCTCCTTTTTTAGTATATCCTCCCTTTCCTCTTCTTCCTGTCTGCAGACTTTGTCTGTTCTTACTTTATTTTCAGCATCACCTTGAGAAAGGTTTCTTTCGGAAACCTTTTGGAGGGCAATGTTATAATATTTCCTGTCATGGAAGGTTTCTCATCAAATATGACATCTTTAGTTGCCTTTTTGTATATCGTTTCCCTCTTCTGAATTGGAACATGAGTACAGCAGGCTGATCAAGTGATGTGCATATGTTTTATTCTAGATTTCTCTCCCATATATAATTCATATGGACTTGAAGTAGAAACTGAAGCTTTTCCCCTTCTATTCAGTACGTAAACTGAAGTGCTAACGAACTTTGCCAATAGGAAAGCTGGAAAGTACACTTCTTCGAATATTTGAGAGTTTTGGCCATTTTGAGAACTGTTCTGTTCTCTCGTTCAGCACTGCCATTTTGCTCTGGTGTATATGGAGCTGTAAGCCTCTGCGAGATTCCATGCTTGCTCAAGATCTTTTGAACTGCTTGGTTGCCAAACTCTCCACCATTGTCACTGAGGATTCCTGTAACTTAATGCCCTAAGATGTGAATTTTCAAGCACATCTTTAATTTCTGATTTGTGTTTAAAGAAAAAACAGTATCTAAATTTGGTGTAGGCATCTTTGAAGACTGTATCGATATTTCTTAAATAATTCATCAAATGACCCACAAATGTCTATCAAGAACAGTTCTGTAACCTCTTTTCTGTTCGCAAACTTTAAACAGCGAGCTTTTCCATGTACACAGGCTTCATATCAGACTTAATCTTCACATTCCACTCTTTCTCAAGAATTGCCTTTACATGCCTTTTATCTTGATGACCCCATTATTAATGATAAAGTTGAAGAGTTGATTCATTAGTCTCAGAGGCGCAGCTAAGGTTTTCAGCGGCCTGGGACAGCTGAAGAATTTGCGACCCTTTCTGTATGCCAAGAATGGGAAACATTTCATTCCAAAATATTGTAACATCAGTTTGGCACCCTCTGGATGCTGCACCCGGGGACAGATGTCTCCCCTTGGCCCACCCTAGCTACGCCACTGATTATTCTCAGTCACATTTATGTCAGTGTGAGTTTCAGGATCTAAGGCCTTTACCATGGCTTTGAAGAGGGTCCCACCAGCAATTAATTCTTATACCATGCAGAACTATTTCGCCATGTCTTTTCAAATAGCAGTCTTTAAATGTTGATTCAAACACACTGCTCTGTTTTCTGTCTTGAGTTGCTAACATGGAAAATAGATTTTTACTTATTTCTGGAACATGCTAGAAATTTTCAAGATTTTTGATTTGATTCATCCCATCTACAATGGTCATTATTTTGATATTGCCTTTTCAATTGCTCGTAATGGCTTTCCATTTGCTACAGTGATGCTGTGGGGAAGCTCAAATTTTTCAGTCTATAAAGTAGAGACTGTTACTGATGATGTGTTTTGAGTTACGTCTCAGCCAGATTTCATCATTTAAATTTGCACATCCTTGATCTTGCTTTTCGAGAAAATCTTTTACCTTAGCTAATAAATTCCGAAGTCATTCCAGAAATTTACTATAATTTAGCCATCTTACACTGGTATGTAATAATAATTCTACCTTTCATAGAGCTGCAACAGGAAGAGATGCCGCTTGAGGGAACTTTCTCGAATGGATAAACATTTTTTAACATAATGCCCATTATCATAAAAAAAAAAAAAAAAAAAAAAAAAAAAAAATGCTCAATGATTAATAAAATTTTTATTACATATTCAATAAGTACTTATATATATGACAAACTGTATAAAAAGTATCAACATATGACAAGTACTTATAAAGAATTTAATGAACTTAGAATATTTAGTCCTGGTATCGCGAGAGTCTGGCCACCCCTGATTTTGGCCGCCCCTGTACTTTTAAGCAGCGCCAGATCTTTGATTTTTCTGATGTGGGGCAAAAGCTAAAACTGCCGCCCTCACCCATCATCCTTTAAGTTTCTCTAACAAGTTTTAATTTGTTTAATAAATACAGAAATAGGTAGAGTTTGAGATAAAAAACCTAAGCTCCATTTTATACTAAATTCTTTACTTGCCCTGGTCAGTTCTTTCATTAACTACACAAAAAGCGAAAGAGGAATTCCTTTTGAATTTCTATATTTACTCGATTGAATTCTGGAAAAATATTAGCTCAAATTTTCAGGTTGATAGTAAATTAAAAAATTTTCACAGCATGTACCAGATGTCCTA